ATTAAAGCCTTCAGCTTTTCCCGTTCCTGAGTTAGCAGTTTTCCTATCAAAATTTTCACGTGTCCATACGTGAGTACTGAACAGTTTTATGGGGCTGAATTAAAAATCCTTCGGTCATACATGAGTAGAGAACATTGCCCTAAAGTTTCAGCTTTCTAACTTTTCGCTTTCCCGGGTAAGTAATTTTCGCGCCAAAATTCCCACTGTTACGCGGACGACGAGGAACGACGATGACGACGATGCTGGTACGACGAGCTTCGGACGGGAAATCGGATGAATGCTATTGTACTGTGGTGCGTAGCGGACAGACTGGAGTAAACGAATATACTTTCTTAACACGAACACAACTTTACAAGGCTTCGTTGGGGCGACGGGATTAAGTTGGGCGATTGCAGCGACAGCCGCTGCGGACGAAGTGTACTAATAACGGGATTGCAGCACCACACTGCTGCACTGGACCCCCGAATGCAAAAGGGCACACTGAATGCCAGCGATTCGAAATACTGAAGACACGGGAAGGTGACGTCGAACACTGGGGGAATGCACGACGATACACGGAAGACGCAGTCGATGACGATACTGAACATACACTGGATCTTACAACAAATTCACAAGCTTAAATACTCTTCACAAAAGGCGGGACAGGTAACGGGTCAAACTGCTGCACGTTTCTGGATTGCTCCTTGCTTCTCATGCGCGCCATCTTTTGCCAGCTTTACATCACACGCTCGTATGTGGACATGGGCTCTTCTTAACAGCTGATTTTGCTCGGACATAAGTAGGGAACATTCCCCGAAAGTTTCAACTTTCTAGCTTCCCCCGTCCCCGGGTTAGCAGTTTTCGCGCCAAAATTTCCACGCGCTCGCACATGGGCTCGGGCGCTTCTAAACACCTGATTTTGCTCGTACATGAGTAGGGAGCATTCCCTTAAAGCTTCAGCTTTCAAGCTTTTCCCGTTCTCAGGTTAGTGACTTTCGCGCCAAAATTTTCACGTGCCCGCACGTGATCCCCTGGCGGTCCTAAGGAGCTGAGTTTGAAAGCTTTTGGCCGTGCATGAGTATGGAACATTACCCCAAAGTTTCAACTTTCTAGCCTTCCTCATTTTCGAGTTATGAATTTTCCCACCGTAATTTTCACGTGCCCGTAAGTAAGTCCAGGGCACTCCTGGGCAGCTGAATTTGAAATCTTTTTGTCATACATGGGTAGGGAACATTCTCCCAAG